ATCTAAGGTGTACAATATGGTTTGATGCTTACTTACCAAGTTAATTAATACATCCATCACCACATATAGTTACTTTTCTTGTATGTGTGCTGAGAACCCTTGGGATCTACTCTCTCAGCAAATCAGCAGCATCTCTAGTGGAAGGGGCTTGAGAGTGACGGAGGAGGAGCTGGGGGCAAAGCTGGTAGTTGAGATGCGGTAAGGAGAAAAGACCTCTTAAATAGGTTGCATGTGAGCAGAGATTTGCAGACCACTGGGCAAAGCACAGTTCAGGCTCGCCCCATCGCCCCAGGCAGGGCAGGCTTGGCGTAGGCCGGGAGGGCAGTGCAGTTTGAGCGCTGAGAGTGAGCAAAGCCGGAAGAGAAGGGAGGGAGTGCACAGGGTACTTGGTGCTGGATGGGAGGCTGCAGAGGAACGAAGAGAGATGTTAAGCCCGACTCCTAAATGTCAGGTCTGAACCACTAACTGAGATCCGCCCAACGGGGGAGGAGCACTTTGTGAGTGAAGGATCAAGAATTTGGTTGATTCTGAAATGTCTTTTACATGTTTAGAAGGGAGTTGGCTTTATAGGCCAGTTCACGGAGTTATTTGAGGCTGGATGTATAATTAAGTACTTAAAGTCAGAACACTGCCTGTGATTGAAATATTAAAACTATGCTGATTGGCCATTTAATATTGCTTGGTTTCTAAAAAGATGTGTAGTTAAAATATGCAAAATTGCTAAGAAGAACACCGTGCTATAAAAGATCTTAGAGGGGGCAGATGAACACCATTTGAGAGGGGAAAGCCTTTTGAAGGAAGTGATATTTAAGCTTGGATCTGCTGAATAACAAAGATTCTGCTGAACTCGCATGGACAAGCAGCTGGAAGGTGACAGGGATACAGAACTTGCTGTTTGAAGAACTGAAGGATCAGAGGTGGTGTGCACTGTAACGGAAGGTTTGCAGGCCAGGTAGGGGCTCTGAAACTTACACTAAGAAGACAGGAAACTACTGATTTCCTTTCAGTTTTTAAGCAGAGAAATGACATTAGCCAGCTTAGTTTTATAAGATTTTTTGGGGAGGTTGGGGGGAATGATGGTGGCTACTGTACTGTCTGGTTAATGGACTGGAATAGCTTCTGAAAGGAATGAATGATTTGTCATGTTATCTACATATCTTGATTTGATTTTTTTCCCCATAAAATTTGAGTG